TGCCACCAACAGTGGAGAAGTGTTCCTTTTCCCATAGCACCTCCAGCATTTGTTACTGGTTGATTCTTGATGACAGCCACTTTCTGGGGTGAGAAGGGATCTGTGTTTTAACTTGCATCTTTTGAATGACCAGTGATGTTAAACACTTTTTCATATAATTACTTGCTGTGTGTTTCATCTGGGAAGTGTGTATTCACCTCAGGTGCCCAGTTTTGGACTGGGTCTTCAGGTTTAGGGGCACCGATATTCTAAAATTCTCCACATTTTCTAGATATAAGTACTTTGCCTAAGGAACAACTAAAAAATTTTCCCCATCTATGGCTTGTCTTTTTTCTCTGATTTCATTGTACAAAAGCTTTTTAATAAGGTGAGAGCCTTGTCTACTCTGAAGTATTTCCTGTGGGATCTGGGTCAGAATGCATCAAGAAATCAACCAATAACAAATGCTGGAGGTGCTATGGGGAAAAGGAACACTTCTCCACTGTTGGTGGCAGTGTAGAGTGGCACAGCCACCATGTATGGTGATGGACCACTGATTACTGACATGTTAAATTCCATGTTTATGCGCAGTCCCTGTAGCGTCTTTTGCCAATGATTTCTAGTTTTATTGAGCTATCATCTGATACTATGCATAGAGTAATTTGAATACTTTTGCATTTACTGAAGCATGTTTTGTGGGCTAGCGTGTGGTTTATTTTGGAGAAAGTCCCATGTGCTACTGAGCAAGTGTATTCTGTTGGTCTTGGATGGAACACTCTGTTGACATCTATTAAATCCGTTTGTTCAAAGGTTGGGTCTGACTCTTTTCATTTCTTCGTTGATTTTTGTGTCTAGTTCATTTGTCATTTGTTACAGTGTGAGCACTGAGGTCCCCCTGTTCACGAGCAAATTTCATCAACACTTTCCAAAATATACTCAAAGTTCATTCACTTCCCTCCATTTCTACTACCACACAGCAGAGCCATTACAGTCTTTCACTCGGGCTCCTGCAGTAGTCTCTTGTCTGATGTCCTCTGCATCCATTAATCACTGTCTTCCTATAATCACTAACTGAGCAGCCAAAGAAAGTATCACTTCAAACCAAAAATCAAATAATATCACTTAAAACTTCTAGTGGCTTCCCATCACATTTAGAAGAAAATCCAAATGCAGCCAAACATTTTGACTGAATTTTCACTATAATCGTTAATACAGAAATTTAAAAAATCAGCAAATATATATTCACACTGCTCTGCATTCTTGTCAATTTAAATATTATGGCTCACAGAAAAGACTTCATGGGGGCCGAAGAGATGGCTCAGTGGAATAAGCGCTTCCCTGGCAAGCGCAGGGCCTGAGTTCAATCCCCGGTTCCGCCAAAAAAGAAAAAAGAAAAGACTTCATGTAGAAAAAAACCTACACAGTATACCTTTGAAAGCAAAAGCATTTGAATAAAGAGCTTCAGACTCCAGATGCATAAAGCAAAAACACACTGAACTCATTTAGAGCCAAAGTTGTCTTGTGGATTGGTAGATGGTCCCAAGCTCTTTTAAGAAGATTCAATGTTTAGACACCAAGTCTTTACTCCTAGTGTAGGTCCTCAAAGGCTGTGTCTGAGAGTCCCTGGAGAAATTTGGTTCAGGCTTTATCAAGGAAAAAAGGGAGAAATGGGTCCCTGCCGGATGTGGGAGACCACCACACTGCTCCCAAGAAGGAAAGCCCTAGCCACAACCTGATCCTAATCCAGATCCACCATCTTCACCATACTGACCGAGACATGTACAGCTGCTAGATGGAAACAAATGTTCTGGGCAGTAGAGGTGCCAGCCTTGCCCACATCAAAACTATCTATGCGTTGCTACTGGGATGCCTCCATGCCTGCTATAGCTACACAGTCTCTTTTCCCTATGCACTCTGCCCAGACCGCACCCACCTCTGATTGAGCTTTTGGAGGCCTTTCATTCCAGATACAGAACATATTCTTTGTTTTGCATCCCTGCGCCATACTGCTGGGTGGGTTGGACTGCCAGCCTCATCAGTGCTCTCGGTAACTGTAAGTTTTTAGACTGATACCCTCAACAGGGGTTTCGGCAGCCTGACGTTTTCTGGGAACCAAAAACAAGAACGCAAGTGTCCTGAGTGACCCTCAATTCAGAGCTCTTCGTTAAGCCAGACAATCTCCCTAACTCTAACCTTCAGATAAAAACCTGCCAAAGCCCTTTTGAGGATAATCTTGACAAATTCTCTCTAGATGTACTCTCCTGAGCACAAAAATTAACCACTCTGCTAATCCTTGCTTTCCTTTTACCTTGCAATTCCTGTTGTCCTTTCCTCTTTGGATACCGTCTTTCCTCCCTTCCTCTTTTCCTTTGCTCTCCTCTCCTTCCCTGCACTTCCCCCACCCCCAAGTGAATGGAGTCTTAGGAATGCATTTCGGTCTCCGAAATAACCCTACTATATCCTTCTGGCCCTTTGGCTAATTACTCCCAAACTTAACTCCTGACCTAACCTTATCATTGAATTCACAGTTTTCAATTTGTCCTACCATATATGTTCCCAGCTCAATAAATTACAGAACCTCAAATCAAAAACCTAAGATCCAGACCTGACTTCCTGGCACCCAATTCACCATCTTTTGTTCTTTGGGATGCAGATACATGCAGCTGGGTAATCATAGTCCCTGGTTCATAACACCAATAAACCATTCGTGACTCTTTCATAGTACAGTATTTACCTTTCATGATAAATGAAATCCATACTCACCACCCAACTCAGGGACCTTATGGGTGACTTAGACATTTGTTGCTCACTCTCTCTCTACCTCTCCCACATCCAGGGTAATCATCTGAATGTTACCATATTGTTTTTTTAAAAAATTCATGTACAGTTATTCAGTTTTCTTTTTTCTAAGAAAAAATATTAGGCCATGTGTAGTTCTCTGAGTTTTGTTATTAACTATCGTTCTGTAACTGGCCACTCCTCTTGCCACCATGTGATTGCACATTAAGCGCACACATAATAACCTCCTACAGCTGAGATTTGGAGTTTTTCCCAGAACATTCTTACGTATGCATTCTGGGGTGCTTCTGCAAATATTTCTCTTGCATATATAACTACAAAGGTACACATAAGGAACTCCTCACAGAATTGAGACAGGAAAAAATATATAATCCCCAAACATAGTTAAAATTATATAATCAACACACAGTGACTTAGAGGCACAGATTTATCAACAGGGAAACATTTAAGATTTAAGATTTAAAAAAAAAGAAAAAGAAATGCTATACCATTTTGGTAGGAAATACCTGAAAGCTGAAAGGCTAGTCTCTAAAAATATGAACAGTAGTTTTCTCTTGATGAAAAGAATGCTTTCTCATTTCTTTTTGTTCTTCTATACTTACCCTATCTCCATCACAAGCCTCTTTACCTTTAGAAATAATTTTAATAATTTCTTCACACAACTCAGTTCTTATGGTCACTTTACACTTCAAATGTACTATTCTTTTGACCCACACCCTTTCAAATCTTTTTGAATACACAAGCTCCTTATTTGCCTTAACATATCTCCCATACTCAAGATTATGCTCAACATGCATAAATCCTGAGCACTTGGATCATGATACATTAAAAATGCATCTCTGGAATAAAATGTGACTACCTTCTATCTCTGATATTTAAAAAAAAATAAAGTAAAAAGTATTATTTAAATTACAAAGGGTAAAATGATAAAATATGGTAGTTTGTAAACTTTTAGTAAGAGTCCTTCTTCAAGTAAAAGAATTTGAAGCTCAATATATACAGAAGATAAGAGTTGAGTCTTGCCCAATAATAATTTTTCTTATTTTCTGAATATTGCTTAATCTTAATTTTTGTTCTAAGATTTATACTGTATCTTTGACTTACAATTTATTTAAAAGACATTGTATGATATCTTCTCCTAGTATTAGAAACTTTAAAAAGTGTATTTCCATTTTCTGTTGACTTTATATTACTTCTTCCCTGTCTTTTATACACACATACACACACATATATGGAAAAAAAAAT